TACATATTCTGGTTTCACTAATGTGTACAGAAATAGTGTGCTAGGTTTTGTTTGCTATAGCTTTCCAAGAATGGAACACTGCAGTGAGAGGGAAGCGGACTGAGATCCCATAAGGATACATTGTATTTTGGTGGCACTGATCTTCCCCCTCCCATGCCCTCCCTCCAAAGCTCTTCTCTGATGTTGCATTTATGACCTTGGAGAAGCAGCCAGTGTGTTTCTTTCCACTCTGTCTGGGGAAGAGGGAATTTGAGTGCAGATTCTCAGTTAAGAGATTCATTCTCATAGCTGAGAATCAGTGTTTAGACAGCCTCCGCCCCATCCCCCTGTCTTGGATCACGATTGCTCAGATCACCGTGTTAATGTTGTGGAATGTAAATACAACAAAGTTGTTGAATTGAAATATTTCATTTAGGAGGGAAATCCATTTTTTTATTATTCAACATGCTTTAATTGGCCAAGCAAGTTCTAATTAAAAAAAATCATTGTAAATATTAGAAATGACAACTCAATAACATACATAGTTTAAATTAAGGAAAGTAATACCCTGATTTGAAGATGGGGTTGTTTTCATGCAAAGGTAGCCACAAGCAGAGGTGGGTGAAAAAATAGTGCAGTCCTAAAATTCGGCCAGGTGCTGTGACTGTAGGTCCACAGTATAGAGAGATTCAGTCTCTAAATAGAGATTTGTAATCTAAATTAGACCTCTCGGTGCATTGCAATCTGCTTTTTTGGAACCAGTTCTTGAAAATTGAAAAGTTTGCACATTTTTATGGAATATTGGTTGGTCCTATATTGACCAGCTACAGATTTTGGATTTTTTTCCTCTGTAAACTAGCATGGCAGCCTTCATTTATCCACATACACATATTCTAAAGTAGAATATTGGTCCTTTCGCTGATAGTGCCCACTTTAGCTCAACAGGATTCCAGGGAAGCATTGAAATCTGTGTACAGTGGCCTTGTTAGCTTTAGCCATGTGCTCACGCTCCTGAGACAAACACATTTTATGAAAACAAGGACACTTATTAGTTGTACCATTAGATGGCAATATTGTATAGCCTTCACTTAGTAGACAAGGATCATAATAGCTTTTAGTCTGGTTGGGCACTATGCCTTAATCTGAGGGCCTTTTGACACATGACCCTAAAAGTGCCTCTGGGGCTTTTAGACTGCCTATGTGAATGTCAATGTAGGGAAGAAAGCAGGAAAAGTGTTATGAGGCTGCCTTGTGTTCTACTTTATGTAGTCCTTAAAAATGGATACCAAAAGGAACATTCCTGTGACCAATTCGTATGCAAACTTGTTAAGGGTAAACCCCAACATGCATGACAAAGCTTGTTTCCAAGTTTGTGAATGAAGGTTGCCGTTTTACATTAGCAAGTGACAAGGCGTGCATCAGGCTCCTGGGTCTTTTGGCTTTGCTGATTTTTTTCTAAACTTCCTTTTGTGAGAATCACTCTTGTACTTTGTTCCTCAAGAGAATAAATTCATGACATGAATTCAAGCAGCACTAAGTTTATTATCGGGATTGCAGTGGCGGGTGTCCCACAGAGCAGGCGCACCCTTAACGCCAAAAGCATGCCTTACATTCCCTATCCCATCTGCATAGTCCCTCTCCCTTTCACCTATTGGGTAGGCCACTAGGTCGTCACAATCTTCTCCATCTACTCCTTGATATGTTCCCGCACCCACTCATGCACCCCATGTTTATACTAATAAGCCCATTACCTATGAGAGGTGTGTGAGTTATTCATAAGCCTATTAAGCATGTGCACTACTCACTGTAAGTTCGCTAGTTCATCTTGACCTTACTCAGTTTTGCCCTGCAACCCGCTGTCTCAAACTACTGGGAAGATGAGATAGGAAGTAGTAAACTTCCTTTCAAGCCAGTTATCTTTTTCACCCCTCCACCTTTTTATTCTCTTTGAGATAGCCAGCTGCAAAAAGACAATTACCTGCTATTTTCTGCAAAAGCAACAGTTTAACCCTTTCCTACACTTTTATCCCTTATTTTCTACTATAGTGTCTCATTGCATGCACTGTCACTACATTCAAAACAACCTCCTCTTTTCCTCCATGGTTCTTGCCACTGCTGCTGTCGCTGTGTCATGTATGGCCCCATCCGTCTATTCTTTCTCCAGCTTGTTCCAGATCCTCCTCTTATTCGAGGCTGTTTGCTACTCATTTTACCAGTTATTTTGCAGTGGTCAGTAGCTGAGAGAATAAATGAGGCTATAAAGCAGTACACTCGGTTTCCTACTTGGAAAAATGTTGACTGTTGGAGTTTCCTTCCCCTACCTCATGGGTGTTCACAGACAGTTTGTGCTAAACTTAAGCCTCTGCTTGTGATGTGAAGCTGCATGATAGAATCCATGCTTTGCATGGAAGGAGTTTCATGCTGAAGCCCTGGCATCTCCAGGCAGGGTAGGGAAAACCTCCACCTGGAAACCATGGAGTTTCTGCAGCCAGCATCACTAGTACTGGACCAGATGGCCCAAAGATCTGATTCAGTATAAGGTTGCTTTGTATATTCTTCTGACACTCATCCCGCTCTCACTACTGGTAAACCGGATTTGCAGAATAATATGTTTCATGTGTGGTTTGGCCAAAGGAGATGTTGTAACAGCAGGAAGGTGTATACATTGTGGGAAACAAGTCCCTTCTTGAATCACTTCCAGTTCTCTCTTCTTCAACCTGGTTTCCTTCAGATAGGATACAGGTTCCGCCGTCCCCAGCTAGTATTGACCATATTAGCTGGAAATGATGAGAGTGGTAGCTCAACACATCTGGAGGACATCAGGAAAGTTGGGGGAGGGCTGCTCAGACCTCTGGCTCTAGTGGTAAGCAGCAAGTAATTTCTCTTGGCACTATTTCAAAAACCAGTCTGCTGTATATGTGTTGAACATCGCAGCAAGGAGGCACATATCTCTCCCCATTTTGTCAGCCCTTTTTATGATGATGCAGAGTGGAAGGCTTAGTTAGAAATAATAGTGCAGTATGGATTAACCACTACTTACCATCCCAATGGGCATGTCGTGAGCAGAGCCCGCTGGAGCCAGGGGGGTCAGACTAGATAGCCCGGGAGGCCCCTTCTGACTCGCTCTGTTTCTATGTTTAATATTCAGTGGCAGATCAACCCAGAGATTCAGCTGCATGCCGTCCTTTCCCAAACTATCCACCTGGGCATACTGCATTGTGCCAGTGGTAGTTTTTCTTGCTTTTGTTGCAGCCTGTGTTGCACTGTCCTTAAAGAATGCAATTTAAAGAGCACTTTAGAGTGCAATCCCCATGCATATTTAGAGAGGAAAGTAGTCTACAGCTCCCAGCATTTCCCAGCCAGCCTAACTAAATGTGCAGTGAATTGTGCCCCAAGACTTTCAAATGATGGTGTTCCAGAATGGCATCTCAACAAACTTGTAATATGCTTCTCTGGCTCTAATATAGGAAATGCTAACTGGGTAGCTGTGTCTGTATACATAGAAATATTTGCAGGAAAAGCATCGTATTTCCTAAGATCACAAATGTAGGTGAATGACAAGTCAGCATTAAAATAGTAGGTCCTAGGGTTGTTTGTCTATAAACAAAAGGCTGGTATGAGCACTCAGTGACATTTCAAGAGCAGAGTAAATGCCTAGGGCTTAATTCACAAGACCTATATTAGGACTTCTTTCAAACCAGATGGAGAGCTGCCCTCCACCCCTGCTTTTTGAGAGTTCTTTCTAAAAAGTTAGAGCTGTTCACACATCTGATAACAATGTGCTAATTAAAGTGGTTGAAACAAGCTAAATATTGTTGACTCTGAATATTAATAGCATCAGTTTCTATTGTCTTGGCATCCATGGCTTCTGAATTGTGTAACAATATAGAATAACTACTTTACTCGTTGGCCTAAATAAGTGCTCAAATATAAAGTACTTATAATAACTGATGTTAAGAACTGTTTTCCTGATGCATTGACGGTAAGTAGCACTGGCAATATGGAAGCAGTGCCCTTTACCTTTGAGCAATGATCACTTAAATGCTGCTCAGTGAATAATAGGTGCAGTCACCTGTCACTAATCTTTTGCTGGGAAGAAGTATCAAATCTGTAGTGCTTTTCAGGGATGCCCACTACCAGAGAGTGGTTATGTGTCACATATACAAGAGCTCAAACAGAATCAAGTTTTCAGTCTGTATAGGATTTCCTAGTTGGATACCTTTAAAGTGTCTGCATATGGCATGTCTCAAGGTCTGTCCTAAGAACAGCTGTTTTGGTGTGAACTCATCCTAGTAGCTCTACTGAATGGGAGAAACCTGCTTGTAACAAATGCAGCTTTCTGCATTTGTTCATAAAGATTCACTTCTGCCTTATTGCTGTATCAGGGTATTTAATTGCAAAGAACAGCAAAAGGGCTTTGCCTGTCAACACTAAAGTTTCTCCCCTACAAGAACTGGTAGGTGTAAATACACCTCAGAAGTGAACAAAACATTCAATTATCCATTGTGACAGTCATATTAGCTTTTGGAGCATGTTAAATAAAATTGACTATGCTGGTGTCAAATACTGGACTAAGGTTTTTGTGGAAGCAGACTTTAACTGGCATCAAATTGGTAATACGCCAAACCAGTTGTGTTTAATAATACTTCAATAACTGTAGAGGACTTGAAACATCCATTTACAAGTTCTGACTGCAAAGACCCATGAGCAAGCTAATTTTGAATTGGTTTTCTTGTTCTTAAATATGCTTGATAGATTTTTATGAGGTCAAAATATAAGCTACACTTGTCATAACACTAATTGGGTTGCTGCAAAAATGTGGTAGTCTGCTGTTTTAAAGAGCAACCTAGAAAGAAAATATGCAGTGCTATAGAAGTTCTACACTATTGTATCAAATACAGTACAGAGTGTGTTAAGGATGTCTTGTTTAGCATGATTCATATGCTAAGAAAATTATGGCGTATATGCTTAAATGTGCATTCTTAGGAAAGAGCAAGATCTGATGTTTTCTTTTCCTGCAGGAGCAGTTCTTGTCAGAAGTAACACTGGTCAGTTGATGTTGCTGTCTCAACAAGCACTAGGGCAAGCCCAAAATAATGCAACTGTACGATGGTCAATACCTACAAATTCATCTACAGTCAAAATACAGACAGTACAGGTAGTTCTGCACTCTATTTCTAAATAGTCTTGCTGCTGCACATTTTTCATGGGAGTCAGATTAGCAAATTATCATTTTTATTAATAAAGGTTTGAATGTGGTGGGTCTTGTCTAGATTTGGGATTCCTGTCTTTCTGCTGGCACAGTTTATATGGGGTTGTTGTGACTGTGATGCATTTGTTTTAGTAGTGTTGTTAATCAGTCTTATCTGTGATTGTAAGCCATGCAGAGTGCAGTTTTTCTTAATAAAGGTGGGTTGCAAATAAATCCTTTTAAAAGAAATCTTAGTGAGGCCATAGCATAAGGTTTTTCAATTCTTGCCTTTCAGTGTGCTTACAAATGTAATATATTGACGGTAAAACATTTGCTTCCATACATGCAAATGTAAACATGTACTCATGTAGTCATAACCCTGCTCCACCTAGGCACAACATCTCTATGCTTCATTTTAAACATGTAGCCACCATTAATTGGTGTGATGGCTCCAGCTTTTGGTGGGCCCTTGGGCATGGCAACCTCAATAGGCCGCCTTACTCAGTGAATTTACCTTCTTGCTGCCATTGTCACCAGCCACTTTTCCTCCTCCTCATTTCTACCACTTGCTTACTTGGCAGGTGGCGAGCCGGTGAGAAAGCAGGCAGGGGCAGCTTACCTTCTCACCACCACCTATACATGGGCCAACGTGAGAGGCTGCTGAATAAAGGGCAAGTCTAGGGGCCTTTCATCAGTGATCCCTGGCTGGAGGGTGTGGCTTCAACTGCTGTCCGTCCATGCGTACCCTTGACCTTGCTTCATTGCCCAGTATTAAGACACTAATCTCTGTGTGTTTAGATCGACCTAGCACTTGTGTACTTCTTTGGTCTTTGTGGGACTCTGCACACACATGGAGCCTGTTCAGCAAGCACCAGCATTGTCTTGTTTTTGGCACCTGCTGAAGGCTGTTTTAAGGAATAAATAAATAAAAATATCCCATACTGACAATCCCATACTGATCAGGCATTAAATGGTTTAATTTGGTCTTAAATTTGTATTTTGATTTTTTAGTTATTCAGTGCTTGGAAATCTTAGAGTATTAGATAAATTCTGTGTTATTTTAAACTATGCAATAACTTCCAAGTATGTTAGGAAAAGCCATGTGTTCATTTGACTACTGAGGCTTTATTTTAATTCTTTTTTGTATGTTATCTGTTCTCTTACCTTTCCCAAAGAATTCTGGAACTCAGGTAGTTAAAGTACTAGCAGCTCCTGTCAAAACTGTGTCTGGAACAACTCATTCAGTTACCTCAACTGTTAAGAAGCCTGTTATAATTCAGGTATTGTTTATCTTATTTTCTGGCATTGACTCTTACAGCTGATACATGATTTTATTGCAGTGTTAACAAAATGGGAGAGTGGCATAAGCATGTCATCCTATCTCCATCTGGTGACCTGTATGAAAAGAAGCACTTGCCAATGTAATTAAAATGCATTGGGAAAGATGGATGCTTTCCCCATGTAACCCAATGTAATGGCCTGGGCATGGGCAGCGGCTGGGCAGGCAGAATGCTGGGACCAGGGTACCTTTGCATGGTGAGGCTTCACAACCAGTTGGGGACCTGAAGCAAGTTCAAGTTGCCAGTTCAAGGTCAAGCCAGAGGAGGCATTCAGTTAGACCAAGGCTGGAACAAGGTTAGAACAACAGGAACAGGGTTCAGAGATGCAAGGGCCAGAGCACAAAGACTCACCAGAACAACTTGCTTTGCTGTGGCAAAGAACAGCAGTGCCAGAAAGGCTTTTATGTTGGTCTCCATGGCTTACAGCTGCTCTGCATAATTGCTCCTCAGTTGTTCCCTGCAAGGATGTTCCTAGTTCTGCAGGCACTTGCGATGTTACTCAGGCCCTGATCCTGATACCCGTTGCACACATCCTGTGTAGCTGCCTGCTGTAGTCGTTATTGCCCACTACTGGTCTATCGCAGTGTCGTCTTGTGGGGCATGGAACAACAGACTGGTCAGCTTCATTACTAATGTTGGTACCTCTATTTTTAATTTTTAATCTTTGACATAAGGTGATTTGCATGCATGTCTGGCAACTGTGGTATTGCACAATCTACCCATTCAATTTTCTGTGTTAACTTATCTGTTTGCCTTCACTTGAACAACTTGCCTGGTGTGAATTTGAAAGATGTTTGAAAATCCAATCTGAGGAATCCAATACCTAGTTTGCGGGACATGCAGAGCCTGGGGGTGGCAAGTCTTCAAGGATCTCCTCCCATTAAGGAACAGAGCTGTAGGGGCTAGAACACAACAAGGCTGAGTGTCTCTAATATGAATAGCCTGTTGAGCAGTTCTGTAATCAGCCAAGTGAACTGAGAGAGAATACCTTTCTCTGACACAGCTGTGGCTCTTGTAGATGGCTGAAGCAAGCAAGCAGCTAAGGTAACTGGGGGACAGGATGCAGCAAAATGTGGGGAGCGGGGATGAAGCCTTGGTGAGAAGTGGAGAAAGGAGCATCCATAGTAAAATACCAATGTGGTGAGTCCACTTTGAAAAGCAAAAAGAAAATAGTTGCACTGGAATAGGTAAGGAGAATAGAAATAGCACATCTCTGTATGGGGCTGAAGCAAGCGGGGATCAAGAGAAAGGATGGTCTGATAAAGCTACCTGAGGTGGAGCATGAAAGCTGGTGCTGGAGCATTCTCTTACCTAATTTGTGGTCACTTATATTGATAACCCTGCCTTCTAGGGAGCCTACAGAAATTTAGAGCAATAAAACAACATGTAATAAAGCAGTGTAATGGCAGACTTTAGATGACAAAACACAACAGCTAAAAAGTGATTGTAAAGACAATTAAATTAAAGGCCAACCTGTGTATGGTTTCCAGGTTTGCTTAGAGAGGGTAGCTTGCTGGACTGCCCCTCTGTGGGAGAGATCCACAGTTTGGCCATTGAAGACAATGTCTTGTCTTTGGTTTTCCCTTTCATACACAATATTCCTAGATATCTCTGCAAGAGTTAGGAAGCCCCTACACGTGCAGCTGCCTCATCTTGGAGTTAAGCCTTGTTAGCACCACTTTATAGAAGTGTTAACATGGCTTGGATGAATGTAACAGCCACTCTTGGAATGCTTGTTCCTATAAAAAATGAAATTAACTAGTAAAGCACTATGTAATTTCTTTCAGCCGGTAGCCTCAACAAATAGTATTGCCACACATGCAACTGGAACGCCTTTGGTTACAGGGCCATCGGCAAAGACTCTTGCTTCTGATTCTTCTACACTGACTGTCATTCCAAAGCCAGTTCCTGACACAGAAGACACAACAATAGACCAGACCAGCATCTCTACTGTAAGTGCTAAGATTGATTACCTCAGCACCACTTAAGGATGCTTGAAATAGGTGCATTAATTTGTTTGTTCTTGATTTCTTGTCAGGATATGCTGGAAAACGTGAAAAAGTGCAAAAACTTTCTAGCAACACTAATAAAACTGGCATGCAGTGGGCCTCAAGCACCAGAAATGGGGCAGAATGTGAAGAACCTGGTTCAAAGTCTGTTGGTAAAAGTTCATCTGCAAGTATTTTTGCCCTAATCCTAAATGCCTTGTCTGGAAAGTGATTTCACTGGGACTTCAGCTGTGCCCAGGCTTGCACTCTTAAGCATATTGCATCTAGAAAACCCTGCAATTGTCGAAACTCATTGTGCTTCTTATATGCATCTTCAGTCCTTGGTGTGATATAGAAGAGAGCAATTAGGTATAATAACCTTACATACGTGATGTACTATAATATCAGAGGCATTTCATGGGTTCACACAACTCTTGCCCTTGGCTGTTTTGTTCATCAGTTATTTGATGATTAGTAGTTCAATTGCACTACAAGTTCTCTATAGTGCATTCTGAGGGAAGGAGAACAACTTATTGTCAAACTTCCTGGGGAAGGGAGAATATTGGAAATTGCACTGGAAAAAGTGTTGCTTGAGGGGGAATGATGGCATTTTGAAGTGATTCTTTCAGATTTTCTATGATGTTCCCAAGTATACATACATTACTTACAATAGAAATAGAGAAGCATACAATAGAGAAGTAGAGTTGGAAAGTGCCACTTAAGCCATCAAGACCAACCTCCTGCACATCTGGCATCTGGCCTCTAATTTGACCCCATTTCATGTCTTCACTCTGGGATAATTGAGAAGAGAATCTAGCCTTTTTCTTTGTGGCAACCTTTTAAGCTCTTGAAGAGTGCTAACATATCTCCCCTCAGTCTTCTCAAGGCTGAACATGCCATTTCTTTCAGCTTCTCATAGGGCTTTGTTTCCAGTACTGTGATCATCTTTGTTGCCCTTCTCTGAACCTTTTCTAGTTTATCTGCATATTTCATAACTTGTGCCCAGAACTAGAAGCTGAGTAGAAGGGAAATAGTACTTTATGTGATTTGGAAGTGTTACTTTTTATACAGCCTAAAATACCATATGCCTTTTTGCAGCCACATCATATTCTTGACTTATTTAAGTTTGTGATCTACATCAGTTCTGAGACCCTTCTCACTTACAAGATGGGGATACTTGGCTCAGCAATCTTCTAATTATGCATTGGGATTCTTTTGCCTAGCTGCAAAACTTTGCATTTGTTCCTGTTAAATTTCATTTTGTTTCTTTTCAGTCCAGCACTCCAGCCTATCAAATTAACTTTTTGTTTCTGTCCTCTAGAGTACTGACTATACCATCCAATGTTGTCCTATCTGCAAATTTCATAAGCATTTCCTGGACCATTTTGTCCACATCATTAATAAAAATGTCAAACACTAGTTCCAGTTCTGAACACTGTGGTATCCCACTTGGGTTTCCACACTTAGAAGGTGTCATTGAGAAGTGTTCTTTAGTCAACTGCTTCTGTAGACGACTGTGGTCCATGGACAGTTGTTCTATCTAGGCCACTTTGAACCAGCTTGGTAATCAGGTTATTATGGGGCACTTTGTAAAAAGCTTTAGTGAAGTTAAGATAGCTTATCTTCACAATATTCCCACAGTCCACTGAGGAATTATCCAATCAAAGAATGAGATCAGATTAATCCAGTAGGATCTGTTCTTAACAAATCTTTGTTGGATCCTAGTAATCACAGTTTTCAAGGTATTTGCAAACTAATTTTTCTGGTCAGCTGCAAAATTTTCCCAGGGAATGATATTGGTCTCACTTGCTTGAAGTTGCAGGTTGCTTTTTCTCTTTTTGAAGATGAGGACAAAATTGGCCCCTCTCTAGTCATCTGACACTTTACATGACCTTGGTGATAATAGTGGTTCTGAGAGCCCTTCTGCTGGTCCTTTTATTAATCTATGATGTCGTCCCTATGGCCTTGGAGATCTGAACTTGTTCCAAGTAATGAGGTGTTTCTTGACTACTTGCCTATCAATCTCAAGCCACAATTCTCCCCTTTCAGCTTGTATTTCAACATTGTCATGGAGCTCATACATCCTCTTTTGGGACAAGACTGAGGCAACATAGAAATTGAATTCTTTTAGCATCTCTTGCATCCCTTGCTAAGCTCAGTTCAGTTCATTCTCAGCTTTAACTTTCCTGGCACCTTTTTTGCTATCGGTTCATCTGTAAGCTTTTGTGAAGCCACACGGGCTTCTGTTACCTTCTCTCCTTGTTAGAATGGTTTGTAATTGTGCCTTTTAGAATTTTCTTTTTTTAATTCCCACCTATCTTGAATTCCTTTCTCATTAGAATTGCTTAGCATTAAACCTTATTTACCATTGTCCTGAGTTTATTAAAATTGCCATTCCTAAAATCCAGGGTACATGTTTTGTTATGCTTGGCTTTTGCTTATTTAGAATCAAGAATTCAGGTACTGCATGGTCACTTTTCCCTAGAGTTTCCATAACTTCCACTTTACCCACTAGGTTATCCCTGTTTGTTAGAATCAAGCTAAGATAGCTAATCCTCTCATTCCTTCTTTCTGTAAGAAGACGCTATCAGCAACATGTCAGGAATTTCTTGGGGGGGCTGTGTTTGGAATAGTATGCAGAGATACTATATTAACATATACTATACCATTTAACATATACTGTGACTGTGCCTCCCTTTCTGTTCATTCTTCCTGAGCAACTTCAGTTGCTGAATTCCAGTCATAGGAGTCCTCCACCAAGTTTCAGTTGTATTCATTTAAAGTTGCATTCACTCTTCTTAAGGGTTCAAGTGCATCCTGTTTGTTTTGCACACTCTGAGTATTTGTGTATAGAAATGGAAGCCCCCATTTTTTAATATATAAACTACCTTCCTACATTTTTGGAAAACTGTTACTGAGAGCCATTAGAGCTGCTCTTTCTCTTGTGGTACATAGGCCTTTGTCCATTGTTATTCCCAAGTTTACATCTCTCTTCCCTGTAAAATTCAGCTTAAAACCCTTCAGATGAATTTTTTCATGCTGTAGCCAAACACATTTTCCGCTGTCCATTACCAGCAATCCATCTTCCAGGAAGTGTAGCCCACATCATCTTCATAGCCAGGCATTCACTAGGAGTATTTTATTTTCCCTTTCTATTCCTATTCCAAGTACTGGATGGATGAGAAGACAATCTGAGTCACAAAGTTAATTGGGTTTCCTTCCCAAAGATTCAAAGCCTGACATGAACCCTTGCTTGGCAGGATCATTTGTTTCTGGATGAGGAACATGGATGAGAAGGAAGGGGTAAGAGTCATTGAACTTTATGAGTATTGGCAATCCTTAACTCTCACCTGTAATCTGTCCTTCATTGAGATAGTGTGCTTGGCAAGCCCATGGGTCTTTGTGACATACATGGGTATCCATCCCATGCAACAGGAAGTCTTCCACAACTACCACTCTTCTCTTCTTGTAGGCCTTCATTCACTGCCCAGTTTGACTGATCTGCTGCCTCTTGCTTGCTGTTCCATGTGCCACCCAGTTATTCTTCTTCCGCAGGCTTTCCTCCAGTCTCATCCTTAAGTACCTAGAAGTGGTTTGATAGTTGCGCTCCTTCCACTAGTACAGAGTGTCTTCTAGTTCTGCTGCTGTCACTGCTTTCTAGTAGTTTTCTCTTCCATGGATGACTCCAGGTTCTAGTGTTATGGGAGAGGGAGAAAAATCTCTTCCTTTCCGTCTTCTCCACACTATGCATTATTTTATTCTATCATGTCTCCTGCTATTCACTGTTCAAACACAGAACCATCACTGGACAGTCTTTTTGGCCATAGTCACTGTTCCCTTTTTGATGCTAGTGCACGTATTCTATTGATTGCGTGTGCCATTGGGTCATCTCTTTCAACCCAAGGGCCAGGTTGGCCACCCCTCCTAGTTGAGCCCAAGATTCCACACCCTGTTTTAGAGACCTGCAGCTTATTGTGTCATAACTGCTATAAGGTTGACTTGGCATTCAACTCATTTTATTTAGCAAGATTACTGTAGAATAGTGAAATTGTGTTCAGTAACGCTACCATAACTATTGGTTTGACCCACATAGGTCGGGTACAAGGCAGTACCTCTTAAGTATATCTGTTTGTGGTACAAATGCCAGTAGTAAATGGAAATAAAAGAGGATAAAAACAATAGATATTGATTTGCTTTGTCTCATTGTCATGCTCCTGAAAGCAAGACTGTAAGCTTTATATTCTAAGATAGTCGAAAGGAGACTCGATTACTGTGTAGAACCATCTTTCTGTAGTCATGTAGCAGGAAGTATTTTATAGCACAGTTCCCTCCCTCAAGGCATGTGTGCTGCCAAGTATTTTTTTTCTCATCTAAGTGCATTTCCAGGAATAACTTGGAAATCCACCTCCTTCATTTGCCCCTTTGGCTTGTTCCTTACCTGTGAAAATTGGTCTTAAACAGAATACTGTTCACAGCAGGCATATAACCTTTATTTAATTCATAATGTAGTCAAATAAAATATGCAGCCTGTCAAGTTCTTCATTAGTCCTAGAATGTCAGTGAGCTGCTGGGCTCTGTTGTGGGCATATTCAGAGGCAGAACACATTGCATTTGTGCTACAATTAATTTTATTCTACCTAGGATGCTAAAATTGAACCTGAAGAATTTACCAAGAAACTGTACATTGAGCTGAAATCTTCTCCCCAGCCAAATCTAGTACCCTTTCTGAAGGTATGTCTTGATCAATATATTCTACATTTCAAGTATGCTTTTTATGTAGTGAAGTTTCTGGCCTTTCTGCTGAAAGGTTGGTTTGGAGATCCAGGACAATTAAATGGTAAAGCAAAGCAGCATGATAACAGTTAGGAAAGTGAAACCTAAAGCCTCCCCAAAGAAATTCCGTCTGTTCTTGCCTACAATGGTACTGTGAGCGCATGAAGTTGTTGGCTTGACAGGTGGATCCTTGTGTCTGCAACAGCAAGCCAAATGTGTCACAGGCAGATAGGAACCTGTGAGTATATTTTCAGGGAGTGCAGCAAGGATGCCACTTTGTACTACCTCTCTGTATGCATTTCTGCTTCCAGATATTCAAAACATAATTTGGTACCTAGTCTAGATTTCTTTGCAATTCAGCTTATGTATGTGTAGTGCATGGAGGATGGACTTGAAGCATTAGCTGAAACTTCATGCCCCTTAATTAAGTTTATGACTGTTAAACTTTCTGCATACATCAGGCAATAGTCTAGGTATTTATGGTACCAGACAGGCTTCCCTCTCATCAGATACAGTGAGACAAAGGCTAGGAAACTGTAATCTCCTGTGTCTTCTCAGTAGATAAATACTAGTTGTAAGGAAGAACAGGTCATCTGCAACTTTCCTATGCAAATACTAACCATTGAAGAAACTTGCAATGTCAAAAGCAGCCTTTCTCAACTGAAGCTCTTCAGAGCTTTGGGATTTCTGTCAGCCTTCAACAGCATGGTCAATGGTGAGAGCTGTAGTCTAAAATGTCTGCAGGAGAGCAAATTGGTGAAGTCTGATTGAAACTAATCCTTTGGCAGTAAGCTTTGCCTCTCCATTTGACAATTATTTCCAAGTCAATGGTCAATCTAAGAGCATATTCCCATGTTCAGGTTGCTTACAATAACAATGTAGCTGCTCTCATGGAATTTGAGGAGTATTCTGCTACAGTCAAATGGAGCTGGACTTTTGTTTTCATTATAGATCTATAAGTTGCTATACTCTTAGTAGCTTGATGGAAATGGACTGACTATATAAAAAACACCGATCAGTTACAACATCCAAAAGCATAATGTTTAAATTTCATTTTAGAGATATATAGGGTATAATCTGAGGACTGGCACCTTGCATTAAGATTATTCAGTGTTGATGAATGGATTCTATTGCCAAATAGTGTTGCCATTTCCCTGAAGATGGTGGGATAGGCAGGAGTGTGTATGCAAGCCCCATAGCTAGCATCCCTTTTCACAGCTCTTCCTCGGGCTATTGTGTGACCAGTGTAAAGATCCAAAGAGGGTTTCAAAGGTGCAGTTTTCAATGAGTTTAGGCAGGAAGCAGTCCTAGAACTTCCAGTATTCCCCATCTAGACATGCTGGGCAGGGACTTCTGGGACCTGAGGGGCTTTCCAGTTTAAACATGCAGATACACCCTAAATCTGTGTGGATGTGCTGAAAAGTCTCTTATCAGGAATTTCTGTAATTGAGAGCTCCAATAAAATATTCCTGGTCAGACATAAATGCATAGAAAATCATCTAAGTTCTTCACACTGACTGCAGCATGAACTGAAGTGGAGCCCGTGGAAGCACTGGCTGTGGGCCTTATATGTGCAGCTCTGTCCCCTACAGTTTTCTCCTACCTGTGTTCAGAAGAATGTCTGAATTGGGCTAATATCAATTACACAATCCCACCTTAGAAAGATTTCATGCTACTAAAACTACAGAAGTTGAACAGTTTGACCAGCGATGCTGTGAAACTTTGAACAGCTCTCTAATTGCTAATTTAAAACCAAAGAGTTAATTTGGCAGGTGTGGGATAAAAATTAGCTCTACAGGATAGAAGGTCATTCCCTGCTATGCACTTCACAAGTTCAGCTTGCTTAAAGATGTACACAGATGCCTTCCTTCTCCAGCAGATGTGGTTGTTTCTATGTTATATGTTTAGTACATATAGGATGCCCAGGAAAACTGCTGGCTGTGCACCTGCCTGTAAGATGTAAAGGCCTGGCTTCCATCAGACTTCCCTCAGAGCATTTCATCATTGTGCCTAAGACTTCTGCTAAAGTGCAGGTTTGTTCATGATTGTGAAGGCAAACAACTGGAACTTTGGCAAGCTTTCTTGACGATCAAATGTGTTGTGTTTCAGACTTTACCAGGGCTGCTACTGATCATTTTAATTTGGCAGTGGCATTGATAACATCAAATGGGGTTTTCTCCATAGCATAACACTGCATGGATTGTGAAAGGGAAATGCCAATTCTAATTTTCTGTTTCCTTCCTTGCCTAGAAAAGTGTGTTTGCCTTACGGCAGTTAATGCCTAACACAGAGACCTTTATACAACAGTGTCTTCAGCAATCCGTACCACAAACAGCTGTTTCCACTACTGCCATGTCAACTACTTCCATAGTTGCTAATAGCAGTCCTGTGACTACAACCTCACTTCTTTCTGCAAGACCAGTTTCTAGGACTCCAGTTGGGATACTTTCCCCACAAACAGGCACAGTCTCCTGTACATCTTTAACAAGGAAATCTGGCTCTCTCCCACTCATTCAGCCAGTCCATGCAGCTTCCATCCAAGGTGCCAGTGCTAATACCTCCACTCAACTGACACTAGGAATAAGTACGGTGAAGGCTGTCTGTCCAACCTCCTCCTCACCAATGGTAACAACAGGCACTACTGCGCTTCAGGGTGTAAAACCAGTCCATATCCCTGCAGCCTCATCAGCCACACTTGTTGCTTGTAGTTCTGTAAAATCAGTCTCATCATCTGCTATGACAACATCCCTTCCAGTGGTAAAGCCAGCCTCGACTACAGCTTCAGCAACCTTGGCTAAAGCAGTAAAAGCTTCTGTTCAAACTGGAATGCCAGTTACTGGGGCACCAATTACCATCAGAGTTGCACATCCCAATTCCCTCCTTTCCCAGCCGGTTCGGACATCACAGGCTATAAAGGTAAAGCAGCTGGTAAGAACTTTGCTTGGGACTAACTCTGCAAAGCTTTGGGGTGCATGTGCGCTTGCGGAGATTGGTCCCTTGAATTGGATAACTGATACTGCCTATGTGTGCAGATAAGCTGTCCTGCCCAATTTGTGTCTGGACCTGCCACCTCCTTGCAAGACCCCAAGAGATTTGCAGAAAGGGACTATTCCTTTTTCACTAAGAAGTCCCTTAATTTCTGTGTGGGAAATCAGCTGTCAACAGAGGCTACCACAGTTGTGAGAGTATCATGCTGCTGCTAATGTCAGGGGGACCTTCAAAATTGATAGCGATTCCCACTGACAGGAAGGACTAGATTTAACAAGCAACAACCAAATAGTTCAGCTTTCTGTAAGTGGACTTTGGAATGGCTTTCTGTTTTGTTGTGTTTTTCAGGACCCCATATACCTGGACAGTTCCTTGCTAAAACAGAAATTTTGAGCCCTTTACATATTTCACTTTAGAACTGGGACTTGGGGCTTGACGGTTTAGTCCCTTCTATCTACTTGAAGTTGGTGGCAAAACCAAGGGACACTTGGGACTTGAGACCACCAACAAACCCATCAAAGAGTTTGCTGCTCTATGTCCCCTTTTCCACTGCTTATGAATTGGGTTTTGCAATTCTTTTTAGGCAGGTGCACAGCTTTGTTTCTTAGTGATCATAGCCAGCCCCTCCATGATATTGTTGGGAGGTCCTTGAAGAGGCACCCCATGGGGGCTGTGAGACTAGGGAACCGACCTTTTCAAATCTCTTTCAAGGAAAGGTTAAAACTAAAGTCAAGGTGCAGCAAGCCTGAAATGGTTTGTGGCAGAATGTGGGAGGAACACCTTTTGCCAGCCATCCCAAAGTGCTGCCAGTGAACTCTTGGAACACTTGCTTCTGGCAGTCACCTGCTAGCCACTTTGTGGAAGCAGCCAAAGGGCTTTTGTTGCTCTTGCCAACTGACTCACTTGGAGTTGGGGATGATCCATGATGGGTCATCTTGTCTGGGCTTTGGTGACATGACACCCCAGGTTGGGTCAGACAGATCCTATTACAAGCCATGACTTGTCAAGGCCTCTAACCCAAAAGTAAGGCACCATGGTAAGCTTGTTTCAAGTTTGCACGACATGCAAACCCTGTAATTGTTACAGCTGCTCGACACTGGCCAAAAAGCTGATGATCACTCATGTAGGTAAACCGAACATTCTTACTGACTGACTAGAAATGTTAGTAGAGGTGTTAAGAAATAGTTCACAGAGATTATGTAAAACAGAGCATTTATCAACAGGTTAAAGAATGCATCTGCCTTAACAACAGACTGTCCAATCCTAGAGACAGAAGAAGAAAACTAGGTTCTTTCATTCACATTCATTTGTGGGTATCCATAATGTACTCCAATGTCTAAGTATGTTTTGATAGGATGGAGACAGTAAGTCTCCAACTGACATCCTGCTCATAGATTGTTGTTATTGTTGGATATTCCTTTCTTGCACTGCTCTCCCAAAACTAAGCTGGTAAAGCTGGATTTACTGTACGGTTCATTTCCATGCAATAGGTTGGAGAGCAACTATTTTTATTCTGTATAAAATGTATCTGATGGTGAGAATGCACATACTATGTAGCATTCCATAGTTGTGTTTCAGGTGAGGCTTCCTGAGAACAACCTCTCCTGTTTGAACTACTGCATTGAACCCAAATTTCTAAGTTATTTAGTATGTTAGCTATCTAAAGTATATCTCAGCTGCACCTGTTATCATCTACATTGTCCTTTATGTTTGTACCTTTGTGCTTAGTACTTTCTCTGTATTAAGTACATCAAATGTTGATGTAACTTATTCTCTAGATAGTCCAACAGCCTCCAGGAAGCATCCTGAAAAAAGTGACCACGCTCCAGCCGGCATCAGCACTCCCTATTGTGAACAAATTAGATGGGAAAATGCCTTTAAATGCTTTTATCCAGGCTAGCCAACTTCCTTCAGGTACTGTTAGATTCTTTGGCTGAGTTCAGACATCACATTACACTATAGCTTAGAACCCAAACAGTGGCTTAATTTACCAGATTTACACCATGCTCGTACACCTGGGTTTTGTTCACCATTCAGCCATGAAGCCCCACTGACGTTGGGCTACTCACTCATTCTTAACCTAACTTTCCTCACAGGGTTGTTTGTGAGGGGAAAATGGAGCTATGTAAGTTGCCTGGGATTTCCCACAAGAGGAGAAAAGGAGGGATAGAAATGTAATGTGCAGAGACCTCCAGCCAAAGCAGTGTTGAAAGAAAGAACTTGAATGGCTCAGAATGCTCTAGTCAAAGTGTGTGTGTGTGTTGGGTAGGTCTGGAGAACTAGACTTGGTGTTAGTTCCATAGTTTAACAGCAACTATTTCAGCATTCATTCTTGATCTATTAGATGGAGAAAAATAATAATTCTCCAGTGATAGATGCTGCTCTGTGGATACTGGAACATTTCAGCCTCTTGGGAAAGACCCATACACATTGCATAGCAAATATGTAACTATTCAACTGTGCTAAAAACAAAGGTGTGTTAAAACCCTTTGGAGAACTCTTGGTTACAAAGCAGGGGGTATTTGCTTAAAGATGGGCATTATTGATGGCCTTACTTTTGGAATATACAGACTGTAGGCACATTCCAGCAAAGTAATTTTTTTAATTAACTCCACTTGGAGCTGACTCATATCTAATGCACAAATGTTTGACAATTAGAAGCAACACAGTAATTCATATTTGGATAAAATAATCCATGCAAATACTGCTGCTGAGAACTGGGTTTGTGACCATGACACAACTATGCTGATTTCATTTTAGTCTTTCCAGATTTCTCTTTCACATATACATTGCATGTCATCTTGGATTTTGCTTTATGCTGTGGATTGTTCTTCTTTTTTTAGGCTCTATTGTGAAACAAATTACCCTGCCAGGAAACAAAATTCTGTCGCTTCAAGCATCTCCTGTTCAGAGGAATAAAATAAGAGAGAACGGAACAACATCCTTCAGGTAAAAAATAAACAGTCGGAAGTTTGTGTGGGTATAGGGAAGCTTGACTTAAAAGAAAAGAAAAAGAGCAAGCAGCAAGAGAGATGCCTCAATAAATATTTAAGATTTCTGATGGGTGTTCTCACTTCCTTGGTTTCAGTATTCTAGTGTTAATGAAGGGGGAGCCAAAAAATTTTGCCCAGGCAGCTATTCCAAATATTAACCCAATCAAGCTGCAAGATATTTTTTGCTTGTAAAGTCCGGGCTTTTATTTAGCCAGCTGATAACTGTATTTTACTTTCTTCTCTCCATGATATGTTTGTTTGCACATGCATGTGATACTGTATTTACACAAAACCTCACATCGATTTTAGTCCATTTTCTAACTAATCCATTGATTAGTTTTAAACATTCAAATGTGCAAGAATTGATATTTGTCTTTAATATAAACACATACTAGGAAATACTTAAATGTTTTGCTCTTTTTTATAATACACCGTAATGCAATTTGTAGTGTTCATTTTAGCTTTAAAATCATCATTCCAGAAATTTATGAACAAAGAACATTTTTCAGTGAATCTTATCAATTTGCTTGTTAAAGTAACTCCCTGAAAAGTGACTTTTCATTAACACTTCATTAAAAGTGACTTTTCATTCCATATTTTTCTAAGCTATTCTGACATTGCTACAGCTTGTGAGTTGCTCCAGTAAAAGACTATAAGTTTTTCTGCTACTGGAACTCCTAATTCCTGGCCTGTGTATTCTATTCATAGATAGGACCTTTGGACTAAAAAAAACCTTGTTGGGCTATTTCCTGAATATTATCTAGGATGTAATAAAGATTTAAGTGTTAATCAGGTGGTCATAGATGATTCTAGTAGTCTTATTGTTGGAAATAAAGACATAATTGGGCTTTTTATCTTGGGAAATGTCAACTTTGGATACTCACTGGAAGGAAAGCCCCTACCAAGTTCCTCTTACATCAAAACTGGCATAGAGATTGATGCCAATCTCTATAGCTTAGCTTGGAGGATGAATGGGGAAGAAGAATGTTTACATGATTGGTTCAATCTGGGGGTAGCTAAGTGACTCCTACAGGTAGCGATGTTTCCCTGGGCATCTCCCTTGGTGCCCACCTAAGGCCCTCAGCCTCTCCCACTTTTTATGTTTAAAAGTTAGTTTTCCTTACCAGCAGTTGGGATCCCTTCAATGCAAAGTGAGGGCCTTCAGCCACTGTGGTCTCCAATGAATTCCTGTGGGCCATACATGGGGCCTCAGAGACATTTGGAGGAAAGAAAGACAGGTTGGTGTTCTCCTCTGCAGTACACCCGAGTCACTGAAAAGAAAAATGGGAAAAAAGGACAAAGGGGCTTCTGTCATTTCTGGCAAGCAGGGCTGGCAGGGGCCAAGGAAGAACAAAGGGGCATCAATGAGATGCTTTGGAGAAAGAACAGCAAGAAGGTAGACTGGGCTGAGGGGAGTGCAAGCTAGGAGCAGTTGTGGAGAAGGTTTGGGGCTTTTACGTAAAGAGAAGGAGGAGAGGGAAAGTTTAGGGTGGGAGTTGGAAGATCATGAAAAAGGGTAAATGTAGGGAAAGTTGAGTTTACAGAGAGACTGCAGTTGGGTGGCAGTGCAGGGGCTAGAGAGAAAGCTTTCCTTCTGTGAAACAGGCTTCTCTTAAAAGAGGGTTCAAATGGAATTAGTATTATTTTGGTCTGTTGGACTATCTCTGCCTTGTATTGTCTGTTCTTGGCAAGTTACTTGTTCATTTGTTTGTAACCAAGCACACCCTTTAGGGTGGTCATTGTGTGATGTGTCTAGGGCATTGTCTCTAATTGCCAGATGTGCCTGTGAGGCCAAAAAGTTTGATCTAGTGTCCCACTCTAAATTTAGGTACCAAGTAATTGCAGAATGCAGCCCCCTAAACCAGCACTTTACTATGTGTTATAACTGTATCAGGATTTGGCAGAGTTTATGCTATGCACGAAATGGTTTTGGTGTGGCGTAGAAGATCAGAATGACAGTGGTAGCTTGTATAAAAGTGTCAGTATTGCTTGTTTCCCTACTACCAGTACTCCACTCCATTAGTGGAATGCCATAGAAGGGGTCTTTCATGTCAAAAATATGGGGCTGTTCTAGCTTTAGGCATCAGATCTGGCACCCTTGCAATTAATACCATCTAATGTTCTAGCAAAGTCTTCGTGTGGAAGTACACTGCAAGGTAATAGTGGTAATAATTAATGAGTCTCCAGGAAGATTGGCCACCTCTGTCCACAGACCCTAATTTAAAAGGTTATATTTAAATTATAATGTTTATAATATTATAAATTTATAATATGTATAATTATATACAATTATATTTATAATATATATAATTATATAAGGCTGTGTGCTTGTCTACTTTAGGGAGCAGAAAATCCTTATGTTAAAAGAACAATATAAAAAATTTGATTCCTGAAAATAGCATTGAAGATGGGTAGCACATATTGGTTATAAATCCGAGTATGTGGAGCTAGTGAAAATTTTTTATATATTGTAGAGGTAATTGAATATACTCAGTCATAATTCCCAGTCACAGGAACTGGAATATTGAATAAAAGTATTTCTTTGATTTAAGAGTATTTTCAGCATTGTGATTAATTCTTTAGCAGATCTATGGAAAATTAAGATATCAACAAATGTGTGAGCTAGCTTCTTGTCTGATGTTCACCTTAGTGATGTAGTTCTCCTTTTCTGCTATTTTGCAAAAACTGCTTAAGGTTCCTCTCAATTTTGTGAAAATTCTCAATTTGCTTTCTGTATATGTGGGAGGATTCTTAAAGGACAGAGCAATGACTACAGATTAATATATAACTGCTTAAAATCTGATAATGGTACCTGCCTAATCCCAGATTAAATTCAAATTGCTCCATGAAGATTTGATTAGCAGCCTCTGGCTGGCATCTTACAGGCTGTAGTTCAAGCCTGTCCTTATTTTTAGAACAATGGAGTAATTAAAATAGAATTAGGTGTATGGCCAATACTTGAACAGCAGAGGGTGCCAAAGACTTGCTTGTTCATTCACTTGAATTTACTAAATGGGCTTTATGGAATTTGAGGATCAGAAGGAATGCAGTTCAAAGACCTGACTAGCTTGGAATTCTTTCATATATTAGGATGCCTTATATAAGCCAAGCAGCTATAATGTTTAAGCAGAGAGAAGAGGCTTAAGAGTGGGCAGAATAAGTGAAAGGGCTCCATGTGAATGGTTCTTACTAGTAGTTGGATAAATATCAAATGGACTGTAACTAGTGAGACTGCTACACTCCTGCCTATTGTCTTGTGTCAGCAGGATTGGCCACTGGTGCTGTGAAATACCAGTTTAAAGACTAAACCTGGAATCAATGAAAATGCTTGCTTCTGGTAAGGACATGTCAACAGAAATTTCTTGTGAGTTCTGCTGACCTGATCCATTCTGGAAGCAAGTGAGTTGCTTTTTGGAACCATGAACTCCCAGTTGCACTAGAATATCAGCCAGCTGATGCATGGTATGATTGTAATCCATTGATCCTGGAGATCAGGTTGTAAATATATCAGCTTGCTACCTTCCGTGGGAGAAGATACATAATGTGCTCTCTAGTTGCATATGCACACTGCTGCTCCCCAATCATGTTCAGTTGTTTGCAAGGTCCTTTCTTTGCTGCTCTGCTCCTGATCTTCTCCCAAAACTGTTTGAGTAATATGAGTTCTATTAATTCTTAATTTGAAAGTCCAACTTTTCAGAAAGCTGAACTTGTTTCTGTAGTTAACCATGGGGACAATACTGAAGTTACAGCGTTTACTTAAATGTTAATGTTGCTTTGCTGCATTCTAGCTAGTGCAGGGAAAGATAAACTAAGTAACATAGATCACAATATATATACAATTCTTTTGTTAAGTGAAGTGTGTATTTAATGGAATGGTCTTATCTGCCTCTCCAGTCCAATAACATTCTAGCTCAATATAATAGTAGTCTGCTTACAGGGATGAAGATGACATTAATGATGTGACTTCTATGGCTGGGGTCAACTTGAGCGAAGAGAGTGCATGCATATTAGCGACCAATTCTGGAACAGCTGGCTCAATTATCCGATCCTGTCCGGAGGAACTTCTCCTTGCTTTGGATGTGCTAAAGAAGAAAATCTTAGAAATAGGTGAGAAATCAAGTTGGGCAAATACTGTGGAATGCAAACATGCTAAACTGGTATGTTTTACAAACCTTTCTGTATACCACTTGCACAAAGTGAAAGCATGACATGCATTTATATATATATTTTAAATGGAGGCTATTAAGCTGGACAATGCTTTACCTCAGATAGTCTCCTCCTGGGGACCAAAATATAATTGCAGTAATGTGTTCAAGTCCTTTATTCCAGGTCTCGAGTCAAGTCTTTACTTTAAAGTCCAAGTTGAGTTTCAAATCATTGCAAGAAACTTGAGGCAAGTCTCAAGAGCCAACTTTAACATAAAAAGGAAGGTGGGGGGTGGGAGAGTTGTAACCACCCCCCCATGTTCCCATTTGCACTTCTTTCAGTGATTCATTGAACAGGAGGAGCACTGTTGCGTTTACTGCTAAGAAAAGCAAAGTGCTTCAAAAAGAGCTGAAGCCTTCCCCTGTACAGGTGGCCCTTGGATTATGGATGACTTATGCTCCTCATAATGTCCTTAAGTCAAATTTGTATGCAAGTCAGATCACATGAGTAAGCCAATGTTTATCTTAATATATGTGTACATTTTACCTTATGCATATAAAATACTTCCAAATTCAACAGAACATCTTAAACACAATACAGCATTGTAATAATACAGTAATAATAAAGTAACTACAGGTACTTAAGAGAGAGAAGGAGAATCTGTACCTATGTGTATACAGTATTGTAAAAAAAAAAAAGATCTTAGAATGGTTTAAAATAGTCTTTCAAATCAGTCCCTTCTAAACTAGCTTACAATAGTCTTGCATAGATTATAATGAAATCATGAATATGAAGCTTTTTGAGCACTTCATAGTACTTTGTTATTTGTTCTTTTTGTTTAATTTCTGAATATATTTCTGAGTTGCTCTGCTAATTTGCAATAAACCATAAGCATAATAAAACCCCACAGTTCCAAACAAAACCATACCTAAACAGAAAAAATAATCAGAACTTTGTTCTTACAGAATTGGGTAATATTTGCAGGCCTGTTGGGAATCCTCCTTTGGAGGGGACGAAGCCTGCCATATTCTACTGACATTTTCTGGTGTGCACTTGCGCTCTCTTTCTGCCTGCTATCAATACAGCATCATTTCCCCAACTGCAGTATGGACATGCTATTACTTGTCTAAATCCCCGATAGCATTTGCCCTTGTAACTACGTCTTCAAGGGCATTTATGATGTGAAAAGAAAATGGCTGTACAAACAGCCCTTGGGGCCAACTTCATGAAAGCAACTCCAGTGGTTAACAGTTGTATCAGTATCTAGGTATTGGTGCCAAGAGAGCAAAATGCAAAGCATCTACACAAGAATCATGTGCTACTCCTGAACAGACCTAGATGATCTAGGAGCGACTACACCGACAAAAGGGCTCCTCAGCCATCTCACCAAAGATGCTGGCTGGCTGCAAAGTGGGAAATAGTTTGTTTGTTTATTTATTATTTATTAAAACATTTCTAGTTGTTGGGCAAGACAACAAGAAGTGGATTTTTATTGGCTACAGCTCTGCTCTTGCACTGGCAAGTCCTCATATTTGCATAATAGGGAAGCATGCCAGAGTCATCTGACTGTGGAACACTTTCTTTCTGGCAGGTACATCTTTCATCTCAGGGTAGAGAAAAAACAGGTGCTTCCAGGTCAAAGTGCTCCTGGAAGGGGATGTTCCATGAGGAGTTGGTAACTGCTGCTCTGTAGCATGGGCGCACTTTTGTGATCTCTGGTTGGCCTGGAAGGGCACACTTACAACAAAGGGCTGTTGAAAGAAACTGATTAGAGATAGTTGGACCCTATCAAGTTGCTAGTAGTAGGAGCATCAATTATGGGATAAGTAGAATGTATAACATCCAAACTAAGAACTTGGTAGCTTTCTGTTTGTGTTTTCTTTCCTTTTGTAAGGGTAGCTGTTGATTGAAAATTGAATATGACCAATGGTATGAGTATTTTTTATTTAAAATGATTTTCAAACAGGATTTTTTAAAATGATTTTGATTTGAGAGCCAGACCTTGTTTAAGAGCTGCTAATTGGCCATCCATGTTTTAAACAAATTTGAGCTTTCACTTCATTACCAAATCTCAGCACCTTAATTCAAGCAGAGGCTTGTATGCTGCTAAAGTAAAGCTACTCCTCATCAGCCCCAAGTGCTTCCTAAACTGGACATTTATTGCTAGTGTTTACATGCGAACAATTTAATGTAAGGCAAAAGTTTCACCAGTGGCTTGTCCCATGCTTTTCTTACAGTAGAAGTTATGAGCTGCACACATTTTTGGCATAAAATAAGATGCAGTTTTATACCTTGTGTTCTGCATGCACCACCCCTCTTGCACCTTCTTGTGCAGGTGCAAGAAGAAGCCTTTGGGTTTGTATTTAACAGTCATTCACTTCTGAATTTCCAAGGCATTCGTCTAGCCTTCTGGAGGTCAGTTATCAACCAAAAGAAGCCTTCATTACTCTATGTGCAATTTAAGGGCATTGCAGAAGTGCTGTTTAGTCCTAGGGTTCAAGTGGCTTCACTTGAAGCAAAACTAACTTTTTGTTTGCTTCTATGGAAATTGAAAGGAAACTTACCATCCAGACAAGCTGCTCTTATGGTAGAAATGGGAAAAGAGATGCTTTAGGACTTTAATTAGCTTTTTCCCAGGCGAGATCTCTTGGGAGTGTGGGTCAAGCTACCACATGCTGTTGGTATGAACAGAACCGGATTAAGATGCCTGGAGTATGTCGCACAAACATCTCTGTTCATTAACATGTCAGGGTTTAACAAGCACCATGTCAAACGGGGCAAAAATGTAGTTCTCTCTTTTTTTTTAATTACTGAAATTAACAGAATAGGGCACTAATTTCTGCAGCGACTACTTCTCCCCTTCTCCAAACTGCAAGACTTGATTTCTCTATTCTTATTAACTTTGTCCTATAAATGACCTTGCAGGGAGAGTGATTCTAGAGGCTAAGTGAAACAATGTCTATTTTCTGAAGCTGTAGGCTAGGTTTTATTAATGTAATGTCTAAGATCTTTGAAGTTGTGACTTTACCAGGAAAATCACAATCTCCCAAACCTTTATTCATAATGGGTATGACTTCCAGGGGGAACAGAATACCTGCTGTGCTAATTATTTCAATTATCAGCTAGTACTAAAACACGTAATGGATTTTCTCTGCCTCCACAGGTAAAAGGCATGACATTACGGAAGTTAATTCAGATGTTCTGAACTTGGTCTCCCATGCTATGCAGGAGAGATTAAGAGGGCTTCTGGAGAAACTGACTATAATTGCTCAGCATCGTCTGATGATCTATAAGGTAAAGAAATAACCAGTGGCCTTCTTGGCATCAAGAGTATGGGTGTATTCAATGACTTTTAAAAGCAGGTAATAGTTACAGTGGGATCGTGCATCTCAAGTCCATTCCATCCTGAAGAATACTTGTTTCTAGGCACATAGAATCTTGCCTTTAAAGTTGTGCTTAAACCCAAGTTGATTATAAATAAACATATTGATAGAGTTGATCCTAACTGTAAGGACTAAAAGTTGTTACATCATTATGCTTTTCTGCTGAATGCATACTACTTGCTGCCTACTTTGTATAGAAAAGAAGGTGCAGAATATCCACAGCAATAGCAAGGTTTAAGTCTTGTGACCTAGTAGATTTGGTATTGTTAGATCTTTGCAATGGTCTTTAACATAAGATTTTAAGCATACATGGACTGCTTCCATTCTGTACTTGCAATAATTCAGATCCTTTTGTCTTAAAATATACCTTCCTGTTTGAGGATTAATGCCACCCAGGTCACGTTATCTCTTTCTTCACTGCTGAGTACTTTTTTTGTTTATTGAGGACATAATATAGACTATGAAGGTAGAACATAACCTTCTTCCAGACAAACCAGGAGGACTGCTTTTTTTAGTACTCTGCTACTTGGTACCTGCTTTTCTTAAGTCAGACTCCAACACCTTCACATTCATTTTTTTCTGAATTTTCAAACTTTAATTTTGGGGAGTTCAGTTCTTAGATGTTGAGCAATTGTTGCTGTTCTCATCTTCCTCTCTTATTTCCAAAAAGTGGCAAATATTTAGAAGGATTAGGTTTCAGTGGAGACAAGGAAGCATATATATCTGTATACTGAGTTAGACTACATGGGAACAACTTTAGTGTTGCCAAGTTACAAACTGGGGAACATTCATATATATTTCTAAATCTCCCAGTGTGATAGGACATGAGCCAGTGGTTCTTCCTGGTTCCTTCCTCTCCTTGACTATCCCATCTTGTGTTTGTCATAATTGCCATGTGGGGGTATTCTTGGTGAGCTAACCAATTATAACAAATGGAGGAAGAGACAGATGATGGGCCAAGTTGGTGGGGGGAGGTGTAGGAAGAGCTTCACTTGATTTGTCTCCTGCTATATTGAGAAAAGGAAAACAAATGTCTTTGATCACTTGATCATGGGTTGTAATCAAAGTATTTTGGAATTTTCTTCAGAAAATTAATAGGCATCCAATACACTAGAAAATCAGAATGGTATAAAACATGGCACTAAATTGTCTATGCTTTGCATCCCACCATTAATCTTATTTAGAATAGACTAATTGAAGTGAATGGGATATATTTTAGATTAACATTAGGTACAACCCAGTAACTAGGTTCACATGGCATGGCAATTCATTGTAGGCAAGTGGCTATGGTGGGTTCTCATGTCATGTAAACCTGGACAATTTGTTGCAGGTTTTTGTGTTTGTCTCCAGCAAGCCACTCTGTCATTACATTACTTGTTTTAGGCTTTGTTGAAGTGACTTCACCCAACTTCAACTGTGGTTGCCCAGCAGCACTCCTATTTGGACTGTGATAGTCTGGCTTCAGTAATCTACGCTCTGATATTCTCTAAATTACTGCAACGCATTACATGTGGGCCTGCCTTTGAGGACTTGCATGAAATGCAGCAGTAAGTTCAATAACAGGGAGCAGAAGGTCCAAATACCAATTCTGGCGCACTTACAGTGTCTGCCTATATACTTCCAATCCCAATTTAAGGTGCTGGTTTTAACCTATAGACCCCTTCACAGCTTAGGACCACAATTCCTGAAGGGATGTCTCTTCCAACCTCAATCTACCTGGATACTATGATCAACTTCTGGTGCCTGCCTCTGATTTCTTTCTGAAGGAGGCTTGGTTGGTGGCTACAAGGAGAAGGGCCTTTTTAGTGGTGTACTCCAGGCAGTGGAACAAGCTCCCTGTCTGTCGCCAATTTTAATATCTTTTCAGTGCTAGGTTAACACTTTTCTTTATGGCAATGTATTTAATTAGTTTGTTATATTGGGGGCATTATGTCAACTGCTTAACGGGTCTTGTGATTTAATTTGTGGAAGCCATTGTAGTTTTTACAATTTGGTTTTAAATTTAGCTTTAAATATTGTAATTTAATTTTTAATTAAGGTTAATTAGGATTACTTTGAATTTTATATTTTCTATTGGTAGTTTTATTTTCTTTACCAGCCATTGTAAACTGCCTAGCAAATGGTATAGAAATACAATAAATGGCAATAATGGTCTGTCCATATAGGGTCATAGGTAGTATATATCAACTTGAATTGTTAAGTTGCTTTGTGCTGACTCATGTGGGGAACTGCCATTTAGATAATCCATAGATGGTATATCTCACCTAAATTCTGCAACTGGGAAACTCAGACTCAGCAAATTTCTGGAATGGACACTTACTAGCACATCTGGTGGATGTGCCTTCTCGGCAAGAGAGAAAATCTTTAAACAAATTTTCATAGTCCCTGAGCAACCAATGCCCAAAGATCCCAAAATAGCCCAAATGTCATAGGACACAGTAGTAATCTCCCAGCACCACTTTTTGGAATCAATCATACAATCAGGAATGGAACTACTGCAATACATTCCTTCTGTATCCCACCTCAGACAGCCTGTCCGGAAGGATACCATGTCAATAGTATCAGAAGCTGCTTAAAGGAATGACAAGGTTGAGATTACTCTGTCCCTTCCTGTTAGTCTATAGGATGCCCAAAGAAGTTCTGATTCTAAAACCAGAGCTGAATTGGGTTGTACTATATGTAGAATATCACTTTAATCCAAGAAAGTGTGGGTTTGACCATTGGCAGTTTGCTTAAACACTTGCTCAGGAAGATGATGGCAATTGGCCTCTAAATTTTCTTCTTGTGAGTAGCAAGGGCTGGGAACTATTTGCCCATTTGTTTGTGGCTGGTTTTCTCCAATTGCCTATGGTCCTCAGTTGCTGTGTCACTTCTTTGGTGATCAGCTTTGACGGTGTTCAGCCATAGCTTCATTATTCAAAACTCCAACTAATTCAGTTGTCAGGCAGTCAAGACAGTGTGACTGCATCCCTGCTTTTGAACCTTCTGCCAGGTATTTTCCCAGTGAGGGTGTACTTGCATATTTGCAAGGTAGTTGCTGTACAAGGGTGTTCTAGTGGAACAAGAGGCATCTGTGCAAGCATGACAAACAAAGAAAAATGTCACTGAGCCAAATATTGAGTTCAGCATGTGAATGTAGAGTGCAATTGTGCTGCTGAGATTTGCACAAAGCAAGCAGGAAAGATCTGAAAGGCTCTTAAACAAGTTAAAAAACATGTGGATACTTTTCTTTCCTTCCCTAGTAGATGCGTAAATTTCTGGTCATTTTCATAGATTAGATTTCCATCCCCTGCACTGTAGATAGCCTACAGGTTGACCATCTGTCCATCTTGCCTAGCATTATCTCTGGCTGGCAGTGACTCTTTATGGTCTCAAGCAGGAATCTTTCCTATCAAAGCTCTGATTCTTTTAAATTGCAGATGTTGAGGATTCAGCTTCAGAAATTCCATGTGCTAAGTATGTGCTCTGCCACTGAGCTATGAGGTGTCCCAGTGGTGTGTTCAGTCTAGGGATGTACAGATTTTGTTAAATTGTTCTGTCCATGTTTTGTAGATTGTCAGATTCCTTTCATTCTGCCATCAGCTCATTGATAGAATCAGATCTTTTCATTTCCTGAATGTGCATTTGTCTTGTCATCAGTCTTGTGAAGATTTGCAATTACACATGTTTGAACTTTGGAGGTTGTGCAAATTCCACACAAATACGCAGTCCCCCTCCAGAAATCCTTATCTTCATTTTATTGTATGAGGACAATGCACAGTTTTGGTCAGTATGCTTTAGCTTTTGTATATTTCTACAACTAAATTTGCATAAAATACTGGAAAATGAAAAACAGATGCACAAGTCCACAGAATCTGTATGATTAGGAAAAGATGGTCCACTACAGAGAGGACTGAACCCGAGGATATGTAATTTGGACCTATATTGTTAAATATATTTAACATAGACATAGATATTATGTTGTTACATGCCATCAAGTCATTTCCAGCCTAAGTCACCCTTATGGAAGACTGTCCTTCAAAATGTCATGCCCTTGACAGCTCTGCTCAGCACTGTTAAACTCAAAGCTATGGCTTTCTTTCTGGAATTAATCCGTCTCATATTTGGGTTTGTCATTCTTCTTCTGTCTTTGACTTTCCTTAGCATTAGTTTCATCTCCAGTGAGTCTTGCCTTGTCATGAGTTGTCCGAAGTTTGACAGCCTCAGTTTTGTCTCTCTTGCTTCTAGAGAAAGTTCTAGCTTGATTTGATCTACTTGTTAATCTTTATTCATCTGCTTGATCTACTTGTCAGCCCAAGGTATTTGCAAAGTTCTCCAGCACTAGTTTTCTTCCTGTTAGCTTTTCTCATTGTCAACTTTCACATCTGTTCATAGTGTTTGGGATTACAGTAGTGTGGATAATCTTGGCCTTGGCCTTCAGTGAAGCATCCTTACCCTTCACAATCATTTCTAGTGCCTTCATTTCTCCTTTCTCAGACTTTTTAGTTCTTATTGGCTGCAGTCTGCCTTTGAATGTATGAATAAGCCAAGGTATGCAAAATCTTTCACAATTTCAGTTTCTTCATTGTTGACTTGGAAGTTCTGTAATTCTTATGTAGTCATGATTTTTATTAATGTTCAGTAGCAGTCTAGCTTTTGCACTTTCTTTATTCACTTTCACCATTTCAATTCACTGCTGCTTTCTGCCAGTAATGTTGTATTATCTGCATTATTTAAATTATTAATGTATCTTCTTCCCCTAATATTAATCCAGCTTTCAATCTATGTACAGACTGAGCAGATAGAGAGATGAAATACACTCCTATCTGATGCCTTTTCCTATAGGAAACCATTCCGTTTCTTTTTATTTTTTCATAACAGTAGCTTCTTGTCCACGTCAGGATGAAGAAGTGCTCAGGCACACACATTTCTTTCAGGACTATTGATAGCTTCTTACAATCTATACAGTCAAAGGCTTTGATGTAGTTTATAATCTGTAGACTTATCTTCTGGAATTCTTTGGTGTGCTCAAGTAGCCAATGTATATATGTGATATGATCTTGAATGATTCGTCCTTCTTGGAATCCTGCTTGAATGACAGGTATTTCTCATGTGATATAGGCTAAAATTATTTGTGGCAACACATTAAGTTTCACTATGTTTTCTTGAGAAATTAGTGCAGTGGTCCTGTATTGGTTTAACTCCTTAGCATCTCCTTTCTTGAGGATTGGAATACATATTGTTTCCAGTTTGAGCCATTGTTTTGTTTTCCATATTTGTTGGCATATTCTTTTTTTGGATTTGGACTGATTCAGTCTTTGCAGCTTGACAAAGTTCTCTTTGTACCCTATCTGTTTCAGGTGCTTTACTGCTTCCAAGGAATCTGACATCTTTTTGTCTTTTCCATATACTGTTTGCAACTTCTCTTTGTTTTATCCTGGTTAGTTCATATGTTTTTCTGTTGGTCTTTCAAGATTCCTAATCTAGGTTTGAATTTGCTCTCTTGGATCTTCTAGAAGAGTTCTCTTGTTTTTCCTCTTATTGTTCACTTTTGTTTCTTTGCACTGGCCACTGTAATAGTTCTTTTTGTCTACATGGCAATCACTGAAAAGTTGCATTCAGGATTCTGACCCTGTTTCTCATTTTGCTTCTTGCCTGTCTTTGGCAATTGTAAAAGATATAGATAGATGATGCAAAATCTATGATGCCTTGACCTTGCAGCAAAGTAACTTTAACAGAAGTAATCTTACTAAAAAGCTTATATCTAGACTGAAATGAGTATTTTATTTGCAGACTTCAAACTGTTGTTTGTATTCTATTCTTTTAAATATTTCTACTGTATTGAATATTTAACTGTTTATATGTCATCTTAATATTTTAAGGGTGTATAACCAATCCAGAAAACATTAGTTATTGGGAAGATCAAATATAATAAGATCACTCAATTTGTTTCCATAGCCATTTATGTTCTTTCATCTTAGCCAGTTGTTAATAGTTTATTGAAAATCTGTTTTCAATTAGGAAAGACTCTGAGGTGATGCCATTGTGATCCATGTGACATCATAGACATACACTTCCTCCTTTTTTTCAGGGGAATGACAACTACACAATATGTAGTGATACACAGGCTCACCTTAAGTTTTTTGAGCAGCTGGATCATGTGGAGAAGCAAAGAAAGAATGAAGAAGAAAGAGAGATGTTGCTCCGGGCTGCCAAGGTGAGAAAATGGAGAATGGCATGGCATACTCAGCAGACACATAGCAGCTAAATCACCTCGAACCTGGCTGCTGACTACATATTGTAGGTAAAAAAATGGATGGTGCTATGTAGTAGATGCCTTAATTTACAGAAATTAGTCCCCTTGAGAATTTAACTCTGGAAAAGAGGTGGCTTGAGGAGCCTCTGACACTTCCATGAGCTACTCAGTTCCTGAGGTTCAAGTGCAAAGGTAAACTTCTGACAGGTTTTCCTCAGCAGATCCATTTTGCAGCAGGAAGGAAGACGCTCAGGCCAGACAGTTTTGACCATGTACTGTGTACACAAATTCTCTCCATCATTGCAGTGGTGTTGCTTGGTGGATCCAGAGAAGTTGGATGCTAGGAATACACACTTAACTTTCCATGTGCCTGGATGTAATGCCTCTAGCCCACTTCCCACTTGATATGCGTAGGAAGGATAACCCAAAGAAAGGAGGTTTTATCTGAGGTTAAAACAAGTATGGAAACTTATCCTTTGGCCATCTGTACTATTTAAGACTATTTCACAAAGGTTGGCAATAAGCCTGCACCTTACTTAAGCCATTTCAAGATTGCAGTTGGTACTTAGGTTGCTGAATGCTTCTTTTTCACTCTAAAAAATCAAACAAAAGTCAAAACCCCACAAACACTTAAAATAGAAAAAGCTTGATGTTTGGAGACAGCTTTCCACCTTGCTTGCCTCCCTTTATTTTCTATATGCAGGGATTTTTTTCTTAAATATGGAAGAGCATTCAACTATTCAGCCTAATGCTGGTGGCATTGGTAGTCTGTCTTTCTGCATAGAGATCTCCAAGGCAGTTGCTCACAAGCATGCTAAAATTGATACACATAATCACATTATCCCAAATAATCATGTTATTCCAGATGATAATATGCAAACCAAAAATAAATTAATAACATTGATCAATAAATCAGCAATCAATCAGCATCATAGGCTACTGTATCATTCCAGAGGCTCTTCCTTGGTCTACGATCTGAAGGCCAACAAAGAACAGACAGATTCATGAGTGAATCATCTCAATCAGAATATGAACCTAGATAGGGCAGGACATGGCTCTACTGTAAGCTGTGCTTGCATCACAGGTGAAGCCCCTTCCATATCATGAAACTGAACATCCACATTTCTTACCTTTTCACCACCACTTACCCTAGTTGGTGCCTTGTCTCCTCTTTTCCCTTCCTTTTCCTTGCATGTGCACTCAGTCACCCAGGGTGTTGCTTTCACATCTATTTTCAAGCTTTTTCTGTGGTGCCTTAAAACTTCCTACCCTGCATTCTCCTCTTTATTTCCTTGTTCCTTCCACACTTCCACATTTTAACTTGCACAGGGTAATGGAAGTACACTTTCTTTCCAGTTACCAGTGCATGTTTACCATTGTTTCCTGTGGTGGGAACTATCACTTGGCACTTGTGGCTGAAGTTTCATTTCCATAACAATGCACACAAGAAATGGGAATAATCATAACAGCAGAATTGCACCACAGGTTTTCAAACTGAATGAAATGTCTACCTAGACAGTTCACTAGAATTTGAGAATGATTGGGGGGCAGTGGGGAAGAACCTTGACTGGTTCAAATGACATGGGAAGTTGCATGCCACAAGGGTAATTAGGGACACAATGCAGGGTATGACTGACACACAAGGGGCAGTAGTGATTGTGTGAACCTGGCCAAAGTATTTTCTCTGTTGAACCACAACAAAAGGAAAAAAGTAGGCAACAGTAAAGAGCACTTCTGTATCCACTTCAGCTTTCACCGTGTAACTCAGATTAACTGCAGAGGGAGTTAGCACAGGGAGCAGGGATTATCCACTTGGATCCCTTGCAATAGCCCAATAATGTAGAGCAATTTTATCCCTGTATCACAGACAGCAGGGGCTGATAGGAACATCCATTTTACATCTGTCCACTAGTAGACCTAGAGGTCTTTCCTTCACATGTCTGATCATTCATTGGTGCCTACCTGAATCATAAAACATAACCTGTTATCATAAGCCTTCAAAATTGCTTGTTTTAGAATCTGCATAATAGAGTGAAACATGGGAATTAAAATTAAGCTCCTTAAGGAGGTCTGCTGAATTCCAGCAAAATGGTGTTGGATCTTTCTCTCCCTCTTTTCTGTTTTTCTCTCTCCCCGCTCCCACCCAAGTGTCTGCTGCTGACATGAACATCATCACGCCTAAGCTGGACCTGACTGACAATGTTAGCATCATTTTTAGTTCAAGCTTCCTCTGGGCTAGAATGAAGGCAGCAGCCCCTCATGAAGGGGATGGTTGTTGAGGGGCGGGGAGAGAGGGTGGAAAGCCAATATGGCTTGAGGCATTAATCCCCTACAGCTAAGGTTTCCAGTCAGAAGAGAAAATTGTAACTTACTAAATACTTAATGATATGTTGTGTTGGGTGCTACTTAATTTCTCCTAAACTTTGTTTTTTGATAGAGCCGTTCCAACAAGGAAGATCCGGAACAGCTGCGATTAAAGCAGAAAGCTAAAGAGGTAGGACTTTAAAGTTACCAAGCTTGTCTTTGTATTCTGAGGGAAGGTTGGCAGCTCTCTCCTGGCAATTAGGTCAGGGTTTATTTTGCTGTTGCATACCATTTGCAGAGGCCTTGGGGAAGGACAGGAACTGCTACAGGCAAGGGCAGCACTTCAAATGAGGTCAATGAATTATGAGCTCCTAACATTTTATTTTCATAGTTTACAAAGAACTATTTCTAGACAGGCCTAAACTATGGGAGTGTGTTTGGTAGGAATATAATGTGGGATTCAAAAAAAGACACTTTGAGATTTAGCATCTGGGACCGTACAATAGGCTACATTTTTCCAGGGTAATTGTTCGTTTTGTAAATCTGATACTGCTTATAATTCTTTGGCTGGGAGGCGGTACTGGGATTTAGTTTTAAATGGAAAATGCCTCTGGCTTTTAATTTTCTGGGCCCAGCAGTTTTCTGTTCTGGAATGGAGCCCTTGTTTCACACAGTTCATGTTTAGCTGCAGGGGTTTTAGTTTATAGCTTAGACTGGTTAAGCTTTTACTCCCAGAGGCCTCTGCATAGCAACTGCAGAAATCAACAAATAAGTTCATTTATGTCTGCTGAAGCCTCCTCTCAGTAGCTGACTTTTTACATTTCCCAATATCCATTTCCTGACTTTTTTAGCCGGAGAGAAAAAAGCTCCACTAATTGGAGCTTATTTTAATTGAGCCTTAATATTGGATCTCACTGGAGTTGCCCCCAGAGCTACTGGGAACAGAATTAAATGAAAATACCTAAGGTTGAAGACTGTGAGTGAGAATTTTTTTTACTTGACCTACAGATTCTTTTCCCCGCTGAATAAATCAAGCCTGTTCACATTTCTGATTAAGGATCTGACAGCAGACAATAATAAAGACAATTGAGGTGTGAGATGTGTGATACAGAGCTGAAGAAATTGGTTTCTATAGTTACTTGACTGATTTCATGCCATTTTTAAGGATCTCTGTGGTAAATGAGTGATTTTTCTGAGCAACCTTTTTTTTAACTGTGCCTCTTGAACTATGAAATTTGTTGTTGCTTAACACTGCTATGGTTGGCTTCTAGGTGCCAATAGCAAGCAGCAGTAGGTTATTTATGAATGCTTTAGAGGCCGTTATGGTTTGGATTAATGTAGGAGGCAAGGCAAAACAAATGACAATCCAGTAAAATAGTCTGAAAATCAATGCATGAGACTTCCATCGAAGTAAGAAATGCCCACAAAATGGAAGAACAGGAATGAAGAAACCTGTCATTCCATCCCATGAGGTAGACAAACTGACATCACACACAACTAGAGAAAGGCTACTTTGTCTCTGCCCCACTTGGAGTTTTTCATACTGTTGAGATTGCAGCAAACTTACACTTTCCCATATGTAGCCTTGTTAAGACTGTTCCTGTGAATGTTTCCTGAGCCTTACTCTTTCCTGCAATGAATGATATGAAGAAAGCCTGAGAATATTGTGGATGATGCAATAATAGTATAACAGCTGTGATCTGACTTACCCATATAGCACCACCTACATCCATGGTACTTTGCAGGTCCCTGCTCTGAATTGTGCACAATATAAAACCAGAGAACCCAAGAAGGATGAAGGCTCTCTGGGCAGGGGTGAGCATGGGAGCAAAATACAGTGCTGGCTGTGTGTGCTTGACTGAGTTACATCAGGGCAGCCCTCCCCAGCTTGGTGCTCTCCAAATGTGTTTGACTTCAGTGCCTCAGACCCATTCAGCAGGGCTAATGGTTAGGAGTGATGGGAGTTGTAGTCTAACATAACCAGCAAGTACCAGATTGGCTTTATTGGATCAGGGGCTGAAAAAGACCAGAGCAGGAAATTAAGTAGGAGCAGTTTACAACAGTGTAGATGAGAAATAGCAAATGGAAGAGAGAGAGAGTGCAGTGGAAGAACAGAGGAAAATGTTCATTCTGTGGAAGCAGGAGGTACTGTGTCACCTGAGTGTGGATTCAGTATCCAGAATAAGACCCCCTACAGCAGCACTCTTCAAATTGTACCTACAACTGCTTTCCATGGAGGGATCAATTGAACTAGTTGTCAGGTAAGGCCATTTCATTCCCCATCAAGGTGCACATTTAAGAGAAGGAACTGATACAGTTTGAGTTCTGGCTTGCACTTTTTAATCTTGTTTATGCAACAGTTCCATTGACAGCTGTGCACAGAAACTTAGGGCTGTAAGCATTGCACAGTTCATGGTTTGACACCTTCCTCACCTGGTGCCCTCCAGATCTGTTATCTGCAACTGCCATAATTTCCAGGAAGTGTGACAGCTGGAAACTCAGGGAGCTGCAGCACAACAAAGATGGAAGTCATCATGTTGGAGAAGGCTACTTTACATCCACACAGAAGCTGCTCCCAATAGCATTTGGTAGGCTCATGCTGACATACAGCCAACCATCTAACCAAGCCATGATGACCTTGCGATAGCAGAAGACACTGGAGAGGTAGTTGGGCTGTGAATGGATTTCAACTATCCTCACACTTGGTGAGGTAAACTGGATAGTTAAATAATGGCAGCCAAATTTTGTAGATACATTTAATTGTTCTTAGGTATGATCACTCCTCACACTGATGGCTAAAGTAGAGGCCATCTTATACCAGGTGGCCCCAAGAAATGTAAGAATATTTGGGCCACTTAGCATCAGTGACAGCAATGCTGAACTTCAGCTTGTACACAAGTGCAAAGTTCCCCAGAAAGTTAAGCATACTCACAGCTGAGTTCAGAAGGTGAAACTTCTCAAATGGGGAGGGGGGGTTAATTAAAAGAAAGTTGAAAGGGAGGGTCATGATGGTCAAATTCCCATAAATTCACAGATTAGGAAGATGACAAGCACAGCCAAGAGCATGCCAGCATATATTAATACTGAAGTCAAGGAGACTGCTTCCCTCTTTTGAAAAAGGGGCACCTGAAAGACCAATAAATTTATTCTGGCATAAACTTTTCCCTGACTGTAGCTTGTTTCATCAGTTGCATAATCAATTGATCATATTGGGAGGGGGACTGTAAAGAGTGGCCGTGAAATATTATGCCAGAATAAATGTGTGAGTTTTTCAAGTGCTGCAAGATTCCTTGTTTTTGCTGCAATGGACTTATATCCTCTGGAAACTGTAAAGGAAAAAGAAGAATGCGACATGAGAAAACAACTGGCAAAACAAATATAACAAAGTATATGAAGAAGGACTACAAGAGGCAGATGGCTGAAGACATGTATTTTGAAAAGTGAGCAAGTGTATTTTGAAAACAGAGCAAGAAACACTTTAGGACGGTGTGGTAACAAAAAAGGATACATGGAGGACAGGGTTGCTAAGTTCATGCAAGAATACTGTTCACTTGTTCTGTTTTTTTTAATTGTTGCTCTGACCTTCAGTTTTTAAAATAACTCACTGTTATATTTCTACTCTTGACTGATTCAGCAGGAAAGGCAAGATATGCATTCTACAATAAATAAAATTCCTTCCATCGGGCTCCACAATGCCTTGCATTTCCCTTACTTCTCATATACTTCCTTTTACGCCTGTGCTTGCAGGTTCATTGAAGTCCTTTACAGATGCGCCTGGGCAGTCCAGCAGTTCCTTTGCAATTGTTTGGACTCTCAGAGTTCACTACTGCTGCCTCTCTGTTAATCCCCACATAACTTGCAATGCTTATGTGTTTTTAATTTATCGCAGATTCTTCAAGAACAAAATTTATGTAGACAGTAATTTACACTGAAAAGGAAGATACCACAGGGCATGCCCACATCATATGCCTCAGTGGCACATTATGCATGTTAAATCTTCAGCATCTAGCAGAGCTAGCCAGCTTTTTCTTAACCAGAAATCGTGGAGTCTAGTATATGCAAAAATTGTCTTTTGCTGAACAGAGCTCAGTTTTATATCTGCAAAAACAGTACATATGGAAGCCAAGGCAACTTTTTATTGATTAGGCTGTGTAGAGCATTCCAGTTCCCTATTTTCCCTCTAATATTCACTTTATAAATGCCTTTTGGAATGTAATAACTTTGTAGGCTTAGCTTTCTCTGAAAGGGCCAATTAATTCCTCCAGTAGACTTCTCAACTAACAACAACAACAAAAGTACAGGTGGTATCAAAGCACTTCATTGCTGATGCTCCATATGTAGATACCAAAGAGGAACAGTAGTTAAATATATTGCCATCTGGCAGTAGTTAATTGATACCTATACCATAATGGAGACAAAAGTGGATCATAGATCAAATTAAGCCAGAACATTCCCTGAAAAGGAAAAATGATGAAGTTGAGGTTGAAATTGATCCTTCAGGCACTTCATGAAAAGGTAGGACTCTCCGGAGAAGGGAAAGTTGACACCAGAAGATGACGAATACGACCAACTGTGAAACCGCAGCTTTTGTCTACCAGGGATGAGCAGGGCTGTCAAGGACGGGACAGTTTGGAGGGCATTAATTCATAAGGTTATCATAGGTTGGAGATGACCTGATGGCATGTATCAACAACAAACTCCACTCTCTGAAAAACTGTAAAAATACATCAAATGATCCTGTTACCTGCAGTGTACATTCCAGTATGAACCCCATTCCTCTTCAAAACGGATCTGTATTTTCAAATCATAGCCCCCACACTCCCTAAAGTTAATTTAGTAGGAGACAGGTGCAGCTAAGATTATGTCATGTTTCCCTAGTTGATGAAACAGTGGATAGAATAATTCCTTCCTCTTTAACATACCTAGATCCTAGTCCTTTTACCTGACAAGACATGCCAAATAATTTGACTCCAAAACAACCCATGTGTCATTGCTACAAGATAAAATGGCCATGATACAGTATGTATATCAAGATTTTTGAAATTGAATCTTCCTTTAATTGACAACTGTATCCTTTTGCTTTAAAGTGGGAAGAGAAAGCTGGGGGTGGTTAGTGAAGCCATAGCCTTTTTGCATTGTATGACCTGTGAGAAGGGCAGCATGACGAACGCATAGTGCAAAAAGTGTGAATAAAAATTAAAGACATTTCACTTAGGTGTAAAATGATACTTTAGGCTAGATGTGTGGAACAGGTTTTTTAGATGAGGGCCAAACTGTTCAGACTCTTGTGGGCCTTCTCTTTTGTGGAAGATAATTTCCTTGCACCCAGTATAATGTTCACATCATAAAGCATGAGTTTTAATATTCAAATATTCTGGTTCATAGACAAAATAATGTAATAGCTGAAGTGACTGTAAACTGTTACCTGTCACATTTAGATAGTTCGAGCACATAGTATCATAAGCAGTATGTCACTGTGCTTCTTACTGGATAAAAATACATAGTTTTCCATGTACTGAAGTGTGTGGGTGGGGGAAGGGTAAGAGAGAGATGAATGGAGCGCTTAAACTGCATATAAAGTAAAAAAACCAATTTCATCAAGGTGGAAAGGAAATATTTTCTTAAAACTAAGCAGAGAACCAAGGTTCTCCCTTCTTAAAAATTGCTTCGTGTGATTACAGCTATACTGCAAATGCCATTTCACTATTGGGAAGGGCTTTAAAAATGTGCCTCTACTTTATTTGTGCTTCAGGTCAGATTAACTAAAATGGTTATTGTGTCACCTAGAAACTCATGACTGCTTCAAGACCAGACCTTAAAAAAACCTACATATTATTAAAAAGGCCAGCAGCAACAAAGACCATTTTATCATTTCCTCAACGTTTTCATAGCAATTTGATCTTTAAACAGTTAAAAAATAAAAAAAAAATCTTTGTACATGGAGCAGATGGAAAAATCGAAGAAGGGAAAATGGTTTTGAAATGTTTCTGACTGGCTTCTGATCTCCAAGACTGTTTTTATTGAGTGAATATGCAGTAAGTCTAGAGAACTAGTTTGTGACTTGGTGGAGCATTTCTCTGTCTAGTTTAGGATTAAGTGGCATTCCAACCCCATATACAGTTGTGGTTGATGGTGCAGTGCCATCTACTGCCTCAAAGGGTAAAGGTATATGGGGGTTGGTTTACATGTGCAAAGTTGCCATTGCCTGCAGGATGCAATTACACAAATTAAACAGGACAGGGCTTACATCTCAGAATTTGCTTATCTCCTGAAGTTACTTTCAATACCATACTTGGTGTAGCTGGGCAGAATGTATTTATCTGTGTATGGTCTAGCTATGGCCACTTGTTATAAATGACAGCAAGAATGGAATTGTAGTCATTGTTCATATAACAAAGCTGGCTTCCATAAATCAAGGGAAGACATACTCACATTTTAATATAAACTATTTTAAAGAATAACCATGAGACTTACTTCCATTTAAGAAAGGTACCTGAAGTCTCTCAGAAGTATATTTGCATGAAACATTCATAAATGGTTTAAAAAAAACTATTGAAAGCGGTGTTTCATTTTTTTCCAAAGTAATGTATACTGGTATTTCAACTAATGCTCCTATGTAGATTTTGCATGAAAACTTGCTTATCACTCTATACGTGAGTGATGAACAAAACTGCAACACAATGAATTCAACATTTGTTTAAAATTTGTGACTCTTTTGCTGTTTAAAAAACATAGGGTCGAAAGACTTCAGCAGATAAGACACCAGGTATAACTCTTGAGATGCTGAAATCTAACCTGTTCATAACTTCCTCTTCTCTCCAATTAGATGCAGCAATTAGAACTGGCACAAATTCAGCAAATGGAAGCAAATCGTGCAGCTCTGGCAGCCATTGGGCCTAGGAAAAAGAGACCACTGGATTCACCTAATCTGGTGTCCAGAGTTGAGGTACATTATGTCTTGTCTTGTGGTTTTATATCCTCTAGCTGAACTTCGTTTTTGTTTTTGTAGAGAGAGTTGTCTATTCTCGGGCCTTTCATACAGCAGCATATTTTTATTGGTTTTACAGGAGATTAAGCAGTGACTTGACATCCAAGTATCTTGTTGTGAAGGAGTTGTTTTTGTATTATTGCAGTAAAATGAGACATGAAGGCACAGAAGTGGTCTTTCTCCCCACCATAGAAATGAGGAGAGGTAGTTGTGTAAATGGGCTCAAATTGGGTGGTATCTATAAGGCAGATCACAAGTCACTTTTCACCTATCTTCACTTGGAATTCTGACAGCTTTTTGATCTCTTATATCCACTCTTTTTCCTTCTGAGGCAAAATGAGTGAGTTCCAGCTCCCCAATATTATGAAAAATATATCCATTGTTAATGGGAGTTATTCCAACTCATTCATCATTATGGTAATTGGAATAGTCTTTCCACTGGGAAGACTTCCTTCAGTAGAACGACTTTCTTCTACCCAATAACATTGTTCCTGCTATTTAATTTATTTTACTTTAACAAGAACATTGAACAGAAGCAAGCATGATGATGATCTGAAGATAGTGAATCTTCTATCCATTAGAAAAATAGGCCACCCCATTTCCAGCAAATAAGAGTACAATGCTACTACAGGTTGTGGCCATCGAACCTGGAACTTCTGACACTTCTATGTCCCAGTGCTCAAGGCAACAGGAGAAGCATGTCTGTCTGTCCTTCTGTTTCTATTTCCTCTAGACCCCTGAGCCTGTTTAGAAGCACTACCCAGGTGGGAGTGGAGAAGTCCCAGGACTCTTAATGGGGCCTCTTCTGTCTGCATTTAACAGAACATCCCCTTTCAGACTTCTCTAAGGTCAACTGGGCTTATTTTTGTGGCCACAAAAAGTAGCCTGTGCAGTTCACTCTGCAGCTGCTGTGAGGGGGCAGGGGAAGGTGGAAAAACAGGATTTTTGGAGTCTTCGTGGTAAGGTCACAGCAGTGTCTAATGATTTGGGAGAGAGACTGAAATATTCTCTGGACCTTCGAATAATTTCCGGGGATCATTGGATTGCTTTCTCAGTGTAAGATATCTGCATGTCTAAGTGAGTCATCAACTGTGGTTCTTACATGTATTGCACCAACCTTGGCATGTGAGTTCCGTTTTTTACGGTGTACATTTGCATGTATGCATTTATTTTATTTAAAATATTATATACTTCCCCTTAACAAATCAGAAAGCAGCATACCAAGCATATTAAGTTAAGATATGAAGACACAAACAGTAAAGAAAATCTAACCATATTAAAAGGCCTAGGTATACAGATAAGTTTCAACAGGCTACTGAACATCTGTTGAATGGTACAGCAGGTGATATTCGACCTGTTCTGGATGGAGTTGTACGACCCTTAAAGAACAAAGTTCAAAGTTTGGGGATGCTTCTGGACCCAGTGTTGTCGCTTGAGCCACAAGGTCCGCAGCTTGGGAGTGCTCCTCGACCTGGAGCTTTCACTGGAAGCTCAGGTAACAGCAGCGGCGAGGAGCGCTTTCCTCCAGCTTCGGCTGATTCATCAGCTGTGCCCCTACCTGGAGTACGACTGCCTCGCAACAGTGACACATGCGCTGGTGACTTCCCATCTTGACTTCTGTAACGCACTCTACGTGGGGCTACCCTTGAAGACGGTCCGGATACTTCAACTGGTTCAAAATAGAGCTGCCAGGCTGCTGACGGGGACTGGACGTTATGCTCACATGACTCCAGTTCTCCGTCAGCTTCACTGGCTTCCCATTGAAGTCCGGGCCCAATTCAAGGTGTTGGTGATGACCTATAAAGCCCTAAACGGCTCGGGTCCTGGTTACCTGAAGGAGCACTTACATCCATATATGCCCAGCCGCCCCCTGAGATCGGTGGGAGAGGCCCTTCTCCGGGAACCCTCCGTGAAAGAAATTAGGAGGGTGGGTACTCAGAGGAGGGCTTTCTCAGTGGTGGCGCCCAATCTATGAAATGCGCTCCCCAGAGAGGTCCGCCTGGTGCCGTCGTTATTTGTTTTTCGGCGCCAGTCGAAGACCTTTTTATTTAAGCAGCATTTTAAATGTTAATATTATTGAATTTTATCTGGCCAGGGTGGCTTATTTTATACTGTATGTATTTTATTTTAATGTTTATATTTTTAATTATAATTATTTAACTAATTTGTTGTAAGCCGCCCCAAGGCTTTGGCGAATGGGGCAGCATAAAAATGTTTTAATAAATAAATAAGTAGACTTGGGATACAGAGCACCTTTTATTTGGATAGCGTGAGCCTAGATACAGTTATCCATGCTCTGATCACGTATTGTTTGAATTATGACAATGCACTGTATGTGAGGCTGCCTTTGAGAATGGTCCAGAAACATAAGTTGACCCAAAACAGGGCAACAGGATTGTTAATGGGGATTGGTCCCATACTATGGCAGGCTTTTTCCAGCTGCACTGGCTGCCAGTTGAAGTCTGGGCCTGATTCAAAGTCCTAGATGACTTGGGGCCAGGTTATCTGAAGGATCACCTCATTCCATATGTACCTAACCAGACATGGAACTTAACTTTGGGGGCCCTTCTCTGGCAGCTCCTTAGAAAGGTAGTGAGGCAGGAGGCTACAAGGACCAAAGGCCTTTGTGGTTGTAGTGCACACTGCCAAAGATGTGCCTGGTGCCTACTTTTCGTTTCCAGGTAAGACCTTTTTATTTTCCCAGCAGTTTAACATTTTAACTTTTTAACTTTATTTTTAATATTCCATTTTATTTTGTATGACTGCTATGCTTTTATGCTGAATCAGATGCTATTGCTGTTGTGAATTGCTATTGTTGTTCTAAGTTAGAGTGTGAGTGTGTGTGTGTGACTTTTGTTAACCTCCCAGTGACTCTTGACTATTGGGCAGTATTAAAATTAAACAGATAGGGAAGAAAGATTTCCAAAGAATGCTGCTACAGCAGAGAAAGGCCTTCTTCTAGTTGCTTTTAGATTTACCCCTGAGCTGATAGTGGGATAATCAGGGTCTGATCTGGAAATCTCACTAAGTAAGAAGAAGTTTGTTAGAAAGCCTGGTCCCAAGTTTGGATTTAATGGAGGGGGAAGGTGGTTCCCCTTGGCTTTCCACTTACGCAATCGAGAACTGTGTTCCTCTAGCCAGATGTGTCAGAAAAGAGGAAAAAAAGAGTGCGGGCAGGCACCTCATCTCTGTTTTGCAAGGAGACTCTGCATAAATTACAAGACTCTTCAGAATTGAAAAATGTACTTGGAAGGCTACATATAGATTGCCATAGGCATGATAGCTTGGTGATCATTGTCCAATAAACAGAATATCCTCTCCCTAAAACATCCTTAAGAAATGAGTCCTTTTCTCCGGCTGCAGTTTGTTTCGTACCATGTTTCAACTAGCCCAGAATTCTGTTTTGCTCTGTGACCATACAGATGCCTCTGGGAAGCCCATGATGTTTTGGAAGTTAAGGTGCTCCTCAGCTTCTGCGTATAATGGTTTTATGGAACTTCTGTGGCTATTCGCCGTTGACAGATCTTTCCTCCATCAATCTATTTAATCCCATTTTAGGGTCATTGAAACTAGTGGCCATTACATGTTGTGATTTGTTGTGACATATCTTGAGTAATTATTGGAAACCAGGTATGGGATGTGTGTATGTCTGTTGGCTTTCTTTTTGGAATACTTAAGGAATTGGCATAATTTCCTTTATTTCTAGCTCAAGTCTTTTCATATTTATTCTTATGTAGATTGTACAGGCCACCCATGCATGAAAGAGGTATTTACAGATTGGGGTAGCCCTGGGGCTTTCAAATTCTTCCAAAAACTTTAGGAGGGAAAAAACCCCTAAGAATGGAGGGAACCTTAAGACAGCCCAATTATGGTTCAGTAGCACAGAATGATGATGGGGGGAGGAACCTTGAACAACTGTGTAGGAAGGAAAATGCAGTAGAGTGGTAGGAAAGTAGGAATTGTGAAAGGGACACACAGATATAAAAAACTTTAGAGAGAAATCATTAATTGCTTGTAGAAGCCCTATCCTAGTTCATCCTGAAGCAATTTTAAAATGTCCCTCATAACGGAAGTGAGAGCTGCTTGGAGGATTCAGTGAAAAAATCTTCAGATTAGAATATAGATGATATTGTGCACATATGGCTATCCAAAAATGGGGGCAAGTCACAAAAACTGCCCAGTGAGAACAGTTTATGGTTGGTTATAGGCTTAGAAAGCTGATTGGCCAGAAAAGAAAAAGTGAGTGAAGGGAAGAATGAAACAAAGCAGCTGGAATCCTGAAAGAAGCCTCAAAAATGCGGCGATCTGTCACAGTACTCTACTTCTGTATGACTTACTGCATTTTCCCACTTTGATTAGTCCTAAATGTGTTAGCAATTAATTTCTTTAGTAAGATAGATAAACCAGGGAACCTTCCTAGCTGTAGGAAGCGGTTTAAAAACCAAACTGTCAAAAGCCAGAAACTTCACAGTGATCATATGTGGAGTTTCATGGCTGTCTTTTGAGCCCGCTCAGCCCATGTGTTACCGTAAAGTAGGGAAAACAGAAGTGAAAGTGATTTAGAATACTCTTGTCTATGTTGCTCATGTAACAAAGTGGCTTCTTGAATTTCAGATGCTTTGGGCATCTGTACCAGTATATTTTGGAATGTTAAAATCCATAGTTCGTCTTTAACAGATGTATCCAGAATAGAGAGGATGAGTGCTGACTATGATATCCTGCTTCTCAGAGCAAGCATGGTAGAAAAAAAGCATGACTAGCCAACAAAAGCAAATTAAACCCACCAGCAGGAATATTAACTTGCCTATGAGCTTGGGTGTGTACCTTAAAATTTTAATAAATTAGTGGCTGTCTTCTTGCCATATGTAAAATGAGCTTTTATCTGCCTTAATTACAACTAAAAGATTTGAAATCACGAGCTTGGTATACAACAACTTTCCCAGGTCCCTCCCTTTACC